GCATTACGGACATAATAGGGCGAGTTAGTGGCCCTACGACAGAATAGATTTTGGACTATTTGAAGTTCATTTATAGCTTTGGGCTTAGCATGTGCGAAAACGGGAGCCGCGTAGGTCATGACAGGTCGTATGCAGACCTTATATAGGGTTCGCTTGTTGCGGAGGGACATTTTACTGTGTCTGCCCAACATGCTGTTGAGCCTACCCATGTAAAATCGTGCGGTGCGAGTAACCTTCTTGATGTGGGGCTCGAAAGTGAGCCTTGCATCAAGGGTGACGCCTAAGTATTTGGCTTTAGTTTGCCATGGGACAGGGGTTCCTAACATCCTGATTGGCGGAGTGGTGGTGAGACGACGTCGGTTATATTCGAAGCAAACGGCGGAGCTTTTCTCCGGGTTTACGTCGATACGCCATTTTTGGAACCAAGCTCCTAAGTCGCTTACTGACTTGGATCTTGTTCCGAATCTGTGGTAGTGAGTTTCCTTTAGAGTAAAGGGCTGTGTCATCTGCAAAGAGGGCTAGTTTAACACCATTCGACGGGATAGGGATGTCGTTGGTGAATAGTATATATAGGATGGGAGCAAGCACAGAGCCTTGAGGGACACCGGCTTTTATTTGACGAGTAGAGGATAGCGTGCCTTCGTGTCTAAAGCGAAAGGTACGATCCTTCAGATAGGAGGCTACAAGGCGAACGAGACGGTCCGGGAGGCCTAAGTCGTACAGTTTGTAGATAAGGCCCTCGTGCCAGACTCTGTCGAATGCCTTGGCAATGTCAAAGAAGACCGCGATGGTTTTTTGACGACGAGGATAAAAACCGCTGAGGATGTATTTCACTATGCGGTGAACTTGCTGGAGGCACGAGTGTTTGGCTCGAAACCCGAATAGTTGTGGGATGACAAGAGGGTCGCCGTCTGTGGGAAACAAATGGCGCCTCATGCGCACGAGAATAACTCGTTCGAAAAGGTGGTGAGGTTTGCCTGGCTTGGGAATGCCAATGACAGTTGCCTCTTTCCAAGAGGTGGGAAAGTAACTGAATTCGAAGCAGGCGTTAAAGATTATGGCCAGTAAGGCGATTACCTGCTCCGGAAAGTGTTTGAGGGCTTGGTTGGAGATGCCATCCGCACCCGGTGCTTTTTTGGGCTTAAGTCCTTTGATGGTAGATGAAATCTCATCTTTGGACACAGTGATAGGGTCAGAGGCGGTAGTGGGTGAGTTCCTGCGACGGACCTCGTCCTCCACTAGTTGGATGTGTATGAGGTCAGTGGGTTGTGAGCTAGGAGAGCATTGAGCGGCGACGCTGTCAGCGAAGCACTCAGCCTTTTCTTCGTCCTCGAAGGCAATGGAACCGTCGGGACGAGACAGAGGGGGGAGTATGCGTTATAGCGTCTATCCGGAGGGCTCTCGCCATCTGGTAGTACGCTGTGTGGGAGGGAGAGATTTTCTCCATGTAGATTGCAACTTTCGAGGTCTCTGTAATCTAGGAGGCGGTAACGGAGTTTGCGTTGAAGGCGGTGGGCCGCGAGTCTATATTCGGGAGAGGGATAGCGTGCAGCTCTACGGAGGGCAGCTTTTTTGGCTTTTAGCAGGTTGCTAATATCTAGGGGAAGACTAGTTTTAGCAACCGGGACAACTTTTTCATTCTCTTTAAGAGAGGATGTTATAAGTGAGGTGAGATTTTCGACCGCGGTGTCTATTTTCCCCCGTACTGTCGAGGGCGTCGGAAGAAAGGGTTATGGGAGGGTCCGGAGAGTCTATAGCCGACTAGAGACTTGTGTTGGTAGGAAGCACCAGTTGGTGTAGGTTTTGGAAGTGGGAGTTGGAGATGGCTGATGGCCAAGAAGGAGAGATACAGGACGGTGGTCGGATCCTAGATCATCGAGAGTCGCCTAATGCAAGGATTGCTTCGAAATCACTCTTAACGGGGAGGGTTCCGCTAGGGATATAGCAAGAGGCTATAATGATTGACTGGTGTGCAGTCATGGCTAATCTAGTGATAGTGGCTTCCATACTGGTAAGCGTCGGAGTAGATATGTCTGAGCAATGAAGGGACTTTTTGTAATAAATGGCAGTACCGCCGCCTTTGCGGTCGGGTCTGTCATTACGCAGAAGTGAATAATTTTTAATAGAAAGGCCTTTAGAGACCTTGGGGCTGAGGTGGGTCTCCTGAAGGAGGAGGAGGTCGGCTTCGCGATCTCGAAGAAATAGCCTAAGCTCTGGGAGGTTATTTCGCAAACCGCGGATATTGAATGAAGCAAACGACAAACCCTTTGGTTTGATACGACCGTGAGATATTGCGGGAGCAGAGGGCTCCGGCATAGTGTAATTACAAAGACCTTAGTAGGTTGATGTGCTCAGTAAGAGCAAGGAGACGGTCCTGAGGGGACTGAGCGGTGCGCAGTTTACGCGCAAGGATAAGGATTTCCTCTATATTGATCTTATTCATAGTGTTATACACTAGGTTTAGAGATTCTACTACAGAGTCTGCCTGTTTTTGTGGGTCGGCGTAGGGCCGCGGGATATTTGATTCCTTTGGGAACCAAGGGTTTATCGAAGTTCTGAATTACTCCTGTATTCAACCTTGTGACCGCTTGTCTGGCGGCAGTGATATTGCTAATAATTATGATACCGACTAGGCATAGTTTCGTACTTGTAAAATCGAATATAAGGGCTTTAAGTATGTTTACTTTAAAATACCAGTGACAAAAATCCGGTACCAAAATACTTCATTGGAGATGATTTCTTAAATTTACGCGAACACCACATTGAATAAAACTTAATTTACGGATTTTATCGCGTTTATTTCACTACTTTTACTTATTTTTAATTCCCGACGTTTCGGGTGCTTTACAGCACCCATGGTCATGGGGGGAGGGGACTGAGATGTTTGACGTCCCAATGTCATAGTTAGTCCGTCTACCTTCAGTTTTTGAATATTAAATTTTGGTCCGATTTACGCAAAACGAGCTTATAGTGTCATGAAGTCTTGCAGTGGTATGCTTAGGTTTGGGTTTATTTTTTTTAATTATAGGATCCCAAGCAGGTGGCAGCACCCATCCATCCATCTTCTCTATTGAAATTTGGATGTTTTTTAATTTCAATAGCCTCGCGTAAATCATCCTTGGTAGGAATCGGTGTTCTTTTGCGAGGATTTGTGGTTTATCAAATCGAATGTAATGGTGGGGACGATCTTTAACATGTTCGCAGAATGCAGACTATCCGGAGTGAATCTCAGTGAAAAGTGAAAAGTGGTGAATCTCACCATCATCCTTCACAGTTAGCTACCGTGGGTAAATCTTTGTGCCACGTAAGATGAAATTAAATATAGTCTACTGCACATGTACAATCAAGCAGAAAAATGAAAATTTTATTATGGCATTTTAATATGTAAAAAGTCAAAGGTCAACATTATATTTATATATCATCGTTAGGTTTTAACTGCTTCTAAATAATATTCTGCATTTTATGTACACTTAGTTAAAGAAATAAAATGTTTTGTATTTGTATTTTTGTATTTGTAATTGCTGTTTAAACTATACTATGCGATAGCCTTCGATTATAAGGATAATATTATTTCATCTTGTAGAAAATAACAAAATATTTACAACTTTATACAATATACTACGAACTACGCTATTTTAAAAAGTGCCAAAATAATTTATAAAGTAATAAATATTTGCACACTATTTGAAAATATTATAGAACAATATTTTTAAAAGTACATAGGTAATCGCAAAAATTTAAAATTTTATAACAGGTAGTGTTAGCGACCTCACACTTTCGACATCGATAGTACACAAGACGACACAAGAAAGTGCGCGGGCGACGGGACGCAAGAAGAAACTACTTGGGAGTAGCGCGTAGCCCGTTGCTATGGTTTCGCTTCCCCGTACCTCACACCTCACCGTGCCGACACCTATTTTTCGGTTCTGCGCACTTCCATCACTCGTGGCGTTACCTATACATAGCTCTTGAATAGTTGAGCCGATTTTGTTTGTTCGAAAGGTGTCTTAATCGAGAGTGTTCTTAGCAATGTTTCAAGAAAATCTGTTCAGCCATTTGAAGATCATCAGCTATTTTTGTTTTAGGGGTTTTTGAATGTTTTTTTGTCGCTATATGATTCCACCAAAATTAACCCCAAAAAAACCGTTAAAAATGATTCAATGACTCCACTTCTTGGTAACACTGCTTCGGTCCCCATGTAATTTATAGAGATGGGCCGAATATGAATTTTACCGAATACGAATATTCGGCCGAACGTTGTGTAAAAATTTCACCGAACCGAATATTCGGCCGAACATTATTCGGCAGGATCATCTCAGTACCTAACCAATTTATGTCGAAACTTGTTACCATAAAGCGCGCGGGATTAGCGCCGGACCCTGCCCTTCGCTTCCCGGCCACACCTGACATGTTATCGCATCAACTAGTACTGTGCAAATAGCCGGCATGTGCTTATGTTTTGACTATTTTTGTAAGAAAAAACTATTTCGCTATGTTATTCTTAGAGAAAATTGATAATTATATGATAATAATGAGTGACTTATTTTAGAGAGACTGATGACCAAAGTAAAGTGAAATGTACTAATGTAATGTTAATGTTTCTTTGTTTGATTCCTAAACATTTTATCAAGCGTTATATTTGCTATAATTGGAAATAAATCGACAGTGCCTAAAAACATAACGCTATACAAGTAGATTTAACCCATAAATAAAATATACTTTCAACAGTAAAATTATGAAAGACATGGCATTACTCAATTCGTCCATTATAATACAGTGGACACCTTGAGTAGCACTTTAACGAATATTCGGTGATTTAGCCCAATACTCGGCCGAATACGAATATTCGTTAAAGATGCCGAATATGCCGAATACCGAATATGAAACAAATATTCTGCCCATCCCTACTAATTTATGTACCGCAAGCTTTATGTATATATTTAAATCGGTTCTTAAGTGGTAAACTCCACAAATAAATAAGTCTTCTGTTCTTTTTTCAGGACAGTGGTTATGGAGGGGTGGCAATGTGCAGACTATTGGTTTGTCTCTCGGGAGCGACGCGTGGCTCCGCATCTACAAGGCAAACGGACGTGCACGACTACCTGAGTTGTACCATGATCACTTTCAGGAAAGCTATTGTGTTAGTAATTTTTTTTTCTCTTTATTAGGTTCACCAACAATTGATAACACTAACACATCAAATTAATACAATTACTTAAAAGTATTAACACAAGTGCAACAATTACTTAAAGGTAAACTCCGCATGCACAATAGTAATGAAAAATTTCCTCCTAAAACTTAGCGATACAATTAGTATGTGTTGTTTCTAGCCATGTAGTGGCGGTGTAGGAATCTCCACTACCCCCTATTCTGAAATCAGCAATTTTTGTAAAAAAGTGTCCATTTATTTTTCAAAAATTACCTACAATTAGAAAGAATCCAATGCGCACCCAGTACTACTATTACTATTTTCAAAGCCTACTGCCAGTCTTTTTACACGGGCAACCTATGGGTTAACTATAGGCAGCGGGTGTACAGCGCGTTGCGTGTCCAGTATAATAATGGGCTTAGGATGCTGATGGGGCTGCCTCGCTTATGCAGTGCGTCAGGAATGTTTACTGAAATGCACACTGATGGTTTCCATGCCATTATTAGAAAGCGTGTTGCATCGATGCTGAAGAGTTTGCGAGGCAGCTCCAATAGAATTCTTAACATAATGGCGGATAGATGGGACTCTGCTTGAGCACCGGATACGGCTTCATGCCAAGGTATAAGACGCCGGTGCCCTCTTAGCGGATAATCTGAAAATCTTCATTTATATTTGTGTTTATTATATTTATTTAAATTAAATTGATTACTAACACTAAAATTCATAAAAGTTCTATTTCATTTCACTTCAATTTTACTAACATACTACATATATGGGTTTTCTGTTGCCTGAAATAAAGATATTTTATTTTTTTATTTATTTATTTAATACGTTAATAAGTTATGTTACATAAAATGTGAAACATCACTAACGAAAAAAGCTTTTTTGGTATTGCCCCACGAATTTATAATAAACTACCTGATACAATAACAATATGAACCTAATTAAAATTTAAGAAAGTGCTTATTATAGTACGGCCGCTGAGTTATTACCGATTTGACAGATTATTCTTAAATTAATCGATATAACCTTGCACGAGCGACACATTTGCCGAATGATTTAGAATACCTCTTTAATATAAAACTTTATGTCAAAATGTCAGAATCAAGTAATTTTCCAATAAACTCTGTTTCAAAACTTAAAATAGTTTGTAAATAATATGAAAACATTTATTTTTTGTTCTTTGGCACGCTTGTACAAAGTTACATCGTGCGTCTAGTTTTCATAGTGATGTGCTTGATAGTATTAGGTCCGAATTTATTGGAATAGATATGATATTTATTTTATTTGGATATTTTTATTTTACTTATTCCTTCGAGCAACTAGACTATAATGCTACCATTTTTTGCGTCTCCTAATTGCATTGTGTTGCCAGTATCTCTATGATTTTTAAGATTTATGTGTGATCCAAAGACAGAAATACTGTGTTCTATGATTTAAAAATAAATACAATTAAAATGATTATGTATAATTTTTAACATTCATAATATATAAAACAACATTTAATAAATATAATTTTCTCCCTCAATTAAGCAATGTTATAGGTGTATTTTTTTAAGTAATTGGCGATACTATTATTGCAACACCCTTACCACCGCTATTTTAATCTGTTTAGTCGTCTTCCGTACTCTCGTGCGCACAGACTACGTTCTCTTGTGTAACCGTTGTTTTTTGACTCGGCTTTCTCCTGTTTATCGTTGCGCTTTATTGGACTAATTTTGTTTGTATTTGGTAATTTTGTTGAAAATGCCGAAACGAGGAAAAACATTGAATAGTCAATGTCGTGAGCTTGTACTAAAGTTACAGGATTACTTTGAGCGTGAGTCACAAAATGGCGGCCCTTTGATTCCTGTCACTCAAGTGAAAGATCGGGTTTCACAAGCTCTTGGAATTGGTGCAAAAACACTATATAATATAAATAAAGAAAAATTTGGTGCTTCTGGAAGTTAAGATAATGTTTTACGCACTCCTAAGAAAAAACGAAGACAAAAGCCCGTGACAGGTGTTGATGTTTTCGATGCAGATGCAATAAGAAACCACATATATGGTTATTATACTAGGAACGAGTTTCCAACTAGACGTTTGCTTTTGGATCTCTTAAAAGAAGCTGACTTGTTTAAGGGCGGTAAAACGGCGTTGTCAAAACTATTGCACGAAATTGGGTTTGAATATAAAAAAAACGAATAAAAGGAAAATATTAATGGAAAGATTTGATTTAATAATTAAAAGGAGCGAGTTTTTAAGAGAAGCCAGAAAAATCGAGTCTTGGGACAACGTCGTTTTTGTTGACGAAACATGGTTAAATGCGAACCACACTGTGTCACGCTCTTGGACTGACGAAACAAAAGCATCAACCTCAAAGGATCCAATTGGAAAAGGATCGCGACTGATAATTTGTCACGCCGGTTCTGCTGGAAGTGGTTTCTTTGAAATTGGACTGCTGGCTTTCGCGTCAAAAAGTACTTCCGATTACCACGAGGAGATGTATACAGACACTTTTACGAATTGGTTCGAAAATCAATTATTACCCAGCCTGCCAGAGTCTTCTATCATAATAATAGACAACGCTTCATATCACTCGAAACAAGTGAATAAAGCGCCTACTCAGGCCGACAAGAAAGCTGATCTCGTAGCATGGCTACACCAAAATGGAATTGAAACTACTGCCGAAATGCTAAAGTCTGACTTAGTAAAGTTGGTACGCGAAAATAAAACATCAAGAGTCCGTTACGAAATAGATGAGATAGCTCTAAATGGACATCGGGTACTGTGAGAATGCCATTGAGCTAATATGGGCACAAATCGAAGGTATTGTTTTTTATCGCATAAGTTATGAATATGAATAATTTGTACTATTATAACATCCAATATTCAGCACATAAGTAAAAAGATACATAACTAAGAAATAAATATCTCATGTCCCTTACATGTAGGTAATTGTGTAACATTTCGTTTATTTAATGTAATAAATTAACGTTATTTAATGTTTACATTACAGGTTACGCAGCTCGTAATAATACGACTCCGCCATTCAGTACTAATAAAATGATGGGTCTATTAAAAGATGCTTGCAGCAAAATAACGAAAGAAGATTGGGTCAAGGTCGTCGAAAAGACTCGAAAACTAATAACAGAAGATTATGAACGCGATATAAGAGTGGACACCATTATAGAGAATGAAATTGTCATACAAGTGACTGATAGCGATGACAGCTCTGGCGAATCTGGTTCAGAGTCTGAATAATTGTTTTAATAAATGATAGGTAGTCATTTATTAAAAACATCTTGTACCTACTCTATTCATTAAAATGTGTAACAGTGTTTACAAATTTGTTTTATTTTGATATGTCCTCGACCAATTATCTACGGCCATCAAGGATACTCCACCTAATAAAGAACCTGTGTCTTTGACTATTATTGTTTTGATTTTATTTAATTACACACTATACTAGAATATTTAAAAACAAACTGTTCCCAAATGATATTAGGGTTACTGGTTCAGTGACTTCACTAGTATTGTCAATTCGTCATGTGTCAAATCGGTAATAACTCAGCGGGCGGAGTATAATGAATTATTAATAGACAAATGTTATTATAAAATTGACGAGTTCTTGAATGATAATTTTGACTAATTATATAAACTTTAAATTATATTGTCTAATTATAATAATTTGTTATTGTCATCTATTTAATTTTATCAATGTAGAATCTTAATTAGTGTTACAATTTCATTAATTTTTATTCAATTTCATTTTTATGGTATGATTCTCATACGAACACATACTTATATTTGTATATCTTTAAGACAAAACATAGCGTACTAATAATTGTAACCCTCGCAAGACCTCCAATGTTTAAACCTGATTCTGATTCCATATCATCCTGTGGACGTCGTAAGAGACGACAGAGGGAAACTGAATCAGGAGATGGGCAGCAGCATCATCTTGATGACAACTCAAGATCATAAAAACTACGGTTGGCAAACCGCTCGCCAAACGTGGCAATGCATGTGACTTCCTGCATGTCTTACCATGTCGTCACTACCATCTAGTGGAGGGTCGGCCTACACTTCGCCTACCGGTACGAGGCTGCCACTCGAGAACATTTTTTTCCCATCGGTTGTCAGTACTTCATGCTATATAGCCGACCCATTGCCACTTCAGCTTACTATTCCGTTGGGCTATGTCGGTCACTCTTATTCCACTGCGGATATCCTCATTACTAAGTTTATCATGCAGAGAAACCCCGAGCATAGCCCTCTCTACAGCTCACTGAGTGACCTTGAGCGTCCTCCAACGGCCAGCAGAGAAAGACGCATCTGTATTTTGATTCTCAACTGATGTAGGTCTTTTTATAGGCTGAATGATGGTGATCACGAAATAGTTTTGTAGATTGAAGAAAATGTAATTTAGCGTCTATAAATATAATAACAAAGGTAGGCCATCTACATCTTTCCACTCCACCGAAATTTTATTGATAACCATAATTGTTTTTGTTTTCAGTGAAAGAGATGCAACGCAGTTACTTCACGCATACACATTCATCAATGACCTATGTGCAGACAATAATTTACAAAACTATGTATTGACATATCCTAACTTTACATCTTCCCTGGGTGAATCTCTGAAGGTGAGGTACTAGACTTTCTGATCTTGAACTACTTTAATGAAACGGCTTTTAAGACATAAAATTGTAATCTTCAGTGTATACCTTTGAATTTATCCTATCTTATAATATAAAGCTTAATGAAAATTCTTTTTAATCAATTGTATATGATTTTGAAGATATTCTCGGATTAAAAATTAATTATAAAAGTTGTAAATATCTAATAATAATATACTTAATAGAATAAATACATAATGCATAACCACTCACGCTTGTCTCCCCGAGGGGTAGACAGAGATAGAGACTACGGAGTTCCATTTGTCAGGATCCTAATACATCTCTCTCGCCTCCTTTACATGCACATACACATACACATTACATATACCTACGCGTGCGATTCGTGGTGACACTAGGGATGAGCAAGTGATAAAATATATCGTATTGGTATTTGTAAACAGTATCAATAATACAACATTTTAAAATATATCGAAACTGATAAGAATCGATAGGAGGAGAAATACGAATTCGATACTCTAAAATATCGAATATCGATATATTGCAATTAAAAATATCTACTATATTAATCGATATTTTCATGAGAAAATATCTCTGAAAATATCTGGTCGAGCCCCGACGGTTCGACAAAAAATGAGATTGACTTCATTATGACGACCAGACGCCAACTGTTCAGTGATGTCTCAGTGATCGCAAGGGTGAAAACCGGCAGCGATCACCGAATGGTTAGAGGCACACTGAACCTAAACGTTAAGTTGAAGAGGTCTCGTCTAATGAAGTCAACGCTCCGTCCCCCTCGTGCTCTAATCCAGAATCCCGAAACTTTTCAGCTTGAGTTACGTAACCGCTTTCAGTGCCTAGAAGATTGCAATGCAGTGGACGATATGAATGACAAGCTCGTGGAAACTGTCCATGCGGTCGGAGCTAAGTTCTGCAAGACCCGCCGCAGAAGAACACAAAAACTCTCCGATCACACCTTAATCACATGGCTGTTAGACGGGAGATGAGGCTGCAATCGTCAACAGATTTGACAGCATACAGGCAACTGAACAGACATCTCCAAATGCATGCGGCGAGACTTACGTAACTTTAATACTGCTCGTATTAAAGAAGCGATCGAGCTGAACCAGGGCTCCAAAGTCTTTGCCAGAGATCTGTCTGCCAGTAAGAGCCAACTGTCAAAGCTGAAGACTGAGTGTGGCAGCATCGTTTCCGGGACACCTGAGATTTTGAGTGAGATTGAGAGGTTCTATGGGCAGCTGTACACATCATCGTTGGAACCACACGCAAGTGTGAGTAACGATCCAAGAGCAAGTCTTACCCGACACTATTCCGATGATATCCCGAACGTCAGTCTGAGCGAGATTAGAATGGCTCTCCAGCACTTTAAAAACGGCAGGGCCCCAGGCGAGGATGGAATTACAGCGGAGCTTCTGAAAGCGGGTGGAACACCGGTACTTGAAGTCCTTCAGAAGCTCTTCAATTCCGTCCTCCATGGTGGCACTACTCCGGAGGCGTGGAGCAGAAGTGCGATGGTCTTGTTCTTTAAGAAAGGCGACAACGCTCTCTTGAAGAACTACAGACCGATTTCCCTTCTACGTGCTGTTTTCGAGAGTCATTAGTCATTACGAATCGTCTCCCACGCAGACTCGACGACTTCCAGCCTCCCGAACAAGCCGGTTTCCGAAAAGGCTTCAGTACCATAGACCACATACATCCCCTGCGGCAGATTGTACAGAAGACCGAAGAGTACAATCTGCCACTTTGCCTGGCGTATGTGGACTATGAGAAAGCCTTTGATTCCGTCGAAATTTGGGTGGTTCTACAGTCCCTTCAGCGGTGCCAAGTTGACTGTCGGTATATCGAAGTGCTGAAGTGTTTGTACAGTAGGGCTACGATGGCTATCCGAGTACAGAACCGGAGTTCGAAACCTATCCAACTGCAGAGAGGTGTAAGACAGGGTGACGTTATATCCCCGAAACTCTTCACCGCTGCGTTGGAAGACGTTTTCAAGCTACTGGGCTGGAAAGGATACGGTATTAACATCAATGGCGAGTACATCACTCACCGTCGATTTGCCGACGATATAGTCCTTATGGCAGATACGCTGGAGGACCTTAGCACTATGCTCAATGACCTCAATAGTGTCTCCCAACGGATAGGTCTTAAGATGAACATGGACGAAACAAAGATCATGTTTAATGTCCATGTCACATCTATTCCGGTAGTTGTTAAGAGCACTATGCTCGAAGTTGTTGACGAGTACGTTTACCTGGGATAAATAGTCCGACTAGGTTTAAGTTCAACTTCGACCGAGAGGTTAATCGACGGATTCAAATCGGCTGGGCAGCGTTCGGGAAATTACGACACATCTTCTCGCCAGGTATACTTCAATCTCTGAAAACTGAAGTGTACAACCAGTGCGTGTTGCCAGTGATGACTTACGGATCTGAGACGTGGTCCTTCACTGGTGGCCGAATGAGGACGCTCAAGGTCGCTCAGCGAGCTATGGAGAGGGCTATGCTCGGAGTTTCTCTGCGTGATAGACTCAGAAATGAGGATATCCGCAGTAAAACCAGAGTGACCGACATAGCCCAACGGATTAGTAAGCTGAAGTGGCAATGGGCCGGCCATATAGCTCGAAGAACCGATAACCGATGGGGAAGAAAGGTTCTCGAGTGTCAGCCTCGTACCGGTAGGCGTAGTGTAGGGCGACCCCCCACTAGATGGAGTGACGACCTGGTAAGACATGCAGGAAGTCGATGGATGCAGGTGGCTCAGGACCGTGCTTTGTGGCGTTGCATGGGGGAGGCCTACGTTCAGCAGTGGACTTGTGAAGGGCTGTAATGATGATGATGATGATGAGAAATGATCTATAGTTTGATATTTTTTACCCAAGCCTACTTTTGCGATTTATTAAAAGTCTTTCGACAATAGTGATTACTTTTACAAACTATAGAAAGGTTCATTGCCATTTTTGAATTTGTTTGTCCTGTTTGATTATTATTATTATTATTAAGTATAGTTTACATATTAAGGATTTTAGTTTCTTTTGTACCAAGTTTTTCGATCACCATTTATAATTTTTTATCAAACGACATCTATACACCTAGCAAATGCTCGTTCAAGAGATTGATTCGTGAACACCTTTTGAAACAAGACATTGTATCATGATAAGAATGGTTTCATATAGTTAATTAAGTTATTATAGTTTAATTAAGTAAATTGACCTACGGGTTACGGAGGAGATAGATTTCAAAGAATCGTTTTCTTGTGCCATGGGAGCTCCGCTCGTTTCGCTTGCTCCGCTCCAATAAAGAAATAAAAAATATTAACTATTAAAAGGGTCTTTTATATTATATGAATTATCGTAACACCTGGGAATGCTATCACTTCCAAGCTATTTCCTAAATGAGTTAAATAAGTAATGTACCACCTGTGTTTTTTTTGGTATAATGTTACTTTGAACTCCACTGGTTTTCCTGATGGTTTTTTTATAGGATAGGGTGACAAACGAGCACTCAGTCCACCTGATAGTAAGTGGTTGCTGTGACCCGCAGACATCTACATCTATCCTTGATTACGAATCAAAATGCAGATGCGTTGTCACACGTAATGACTAAGTTGGAATGCCTCATTTCCAGTAAAAAGGATCTTCGGTTCTCTACACTCACCATACGAAACACAGCAGCATTAAGCTACTTTTTGACGCTGGTATTCTGTGAGAGCGTGGTCCTTCCCCGGTCGAGCCGACCCATTCGTGTTACAACTATACTATTAATGTAACTGCAGCATGGCTCTACCACGTAAAAATATGGTTATATATATTGGATGGTTCTTTTTAGAACAAGTTTTTGTTCTAAACCAGTGGTAAAAGTGAAAAAAATGTTTTAATTAAAATTATTTGTAATATATTCAATAAAATATTGTATTCTGTTCTATTTTATTTAATTTATATTTCATAGACTAAATCTGTTTTTTCTTATTTTTAGGACACAGACAACCTATGTATTGCTGCTGCCGATGATAGGAGTGAACCAGAGAATACACTTAGTTGTCTTCAAAGCACTTTAAAGTTCCTTACGGTTTTAGTTAATTTGGGTAATTAATTCATTTGTATTAATCTCAGTAAGAACTATTAACCAGGAAACAAAAATAAAAATAAACTAATAATATAATAATCTCTCCCACCTGTGACTCAAAGGAGTAGCCAGAAACTATGGACTTCCATTTGGCACGATCCTTACACTCCTCTCTCACTTTTTTCGAGTTCGAGAACGAGTTCCTAGAACCGATGATCCTATATTTTACATTTAAATTAATTATACAGCCCTACAAAGCTTTATGTGAGAGTACAATTACCTATTGCACATGTTCCTGGGTTGGAGCAGCTAAGGCGTTCCTCCTGGACTTAGAACGTGCACAAAGAGCCGTTTTAAAGGTTGCATTGCATCTACCTTTTAGATATCCGACTATATCGATTTACGAGAAAACCAAATTCCTGCCAGCTAGAAAGCTATTTATTCATAAATGTCTTAGAAGTTATTACCGATTGGATATTCCAAATTTACCGATAAATAAGAAAAGAATAGACAGATGCTTTCATAGCAATTAAAAGTTTTTTTGTTGAAAAGAAGTACAAATACTTAGCACCATATTTATGTAACAAATTTAATAGGTGTATATAATTTATAAGTTAAGCCGAATACGACGCGAATGACCTTGCTCGTTTCGCAGCAAACCACGCGCCGCCAGTACGCTTTGTTTATATAGAAATGTATAATATAATCAAAGCTCAGTATGCAGAGTAATGAACAACACAGAGAGCATTGCTTACTTCTTAAATAAATCTTTCTTATTTATAATATTAGTTCCTATAGATTATAAATTCTGTACTTTATTCGTTATAAAATATTTTTCGAAAAGTTATTAAATTGATAACGATTTTTTTTCTTAATTGGTGAATCGTACGTAAAGAACCTCATATAACTGAAAATGTTTGTTCTTGTGAGTCTTACAAGATGCCGTAATGCAAATTGCATAAATAATAAAGAAAAAAAAACTAAAAAGTCGGTGATTGCCCCATAGTGGGGATAGGTACTGGTTATGTGAATTCTCACAAGACTACTCCGACTTAATTATGTACTTACCCCATGCTTTCGGACAATATATTGACTATGACATTATTTGCGGTCTCTGTGCTTGCACTACTCTGTACATTCTTTTCCGACTGGGTCTTGATATTTATATTTTTAGTGTTTCTCACTTGAAACTAGAAAAGTGTAAATGATCAGTTTGGCTAATGAAAATGAGTAAAAATGCAACCTATTAGGCAGCCTCAAACAAAAAATTACCTTACAAAAATATAAGTACTACACTACCAAAACAATTAGGCGCATGACAGGAATGCGGTTACCGCGCTCTGTACCCCGCACCTCGTCCCGCACGTCCCATAGTGACGCGCAATAATTACTTTCTGCGGTACATGTTGCCGTCGTTTCGTTACTAGGTTACTAATATTGAAGAAGAATCAAGATTTAAGTTATGAATACAGATTCATAGAACTTGAGAAACTAGAATATACAGTAAAAAAAATTTTCACCACGTCTGACAAATAATAAGGGTAGTTTTAGAAATTGATGTGTAATAATAATTAATTAGTTCGATGATATAATAATAATGAGTTATAAAAATAAACTAGAAACCGGTTTTCTTCTTTCTTCTTATCTCTATTCTTAATATCTCACAATGGGTAAAAAAAGAACAATCCGTGGGTCAGAAAGGACCATCATATTAAGAATATTTCATTTTTTTGAGGAAGAAAAGTTAAGAGGAATCACTATTCCAATAACAGCAGTAGACAAACGAGTGTGTGCTGCTACTGGTGTAAGTCGACGCACACTGACCAGAATTAAACGTGAAGAGGAAAACGAGATTGCCAAACGAAGAAGACTTGAAAGTGAACCGCAACCGAGTACTTCAAGCGAAGCCCCAACAGAGTCAGTAAAACTGTCTACTCCAGGAAAAAAGCGAATACAAAAGAAAAAGTTGGAGATTGATGACTTCATGATTTGTGCTATCAAAACCAAAATTGAATCCTTTTATACCGTTCACAAAGAAGTGTCAACATTGAAAAAACTATTAGTGGCTGTCAAAAGAGACCTTAATTTTCCTGGTCAACGGGAGACTCTACGAAAAATTTTGACTGAACAGTTGGCTTCCGATTTAAGAAATGTGCCAGTAAGCGAGATGTATTAATCGAAAGACCAGTAATAGCAGCGTGGCGTGCTCGCTATTTACGGCGGTTAAAAGAAAATGATGTTTTTGGTACAGACAAAAAACCAGTTATTTTCACAGATGAAACCTGGATACACTCGCATTATACTGTAAATAAGTGCTGGCAAAGTCAAACTGTCCCAGGCCTGAGAAAAAACGCTAGTGCAGGCCAGCGCTGGATAGTAGTTCACGCAGGTATGAACAACTTTCCTTGTTTTTCTTTCGTTTTTAGTACCTATTGTTTTCTTACTTTTCTTAGTACTGATTATCACCTATCACTTTTCGATTGCGATAAAGATAAAAAATATTCCTGAGGTGTGAGCTATTATTGACTTTATATTAAACAAAAATCTCTCAGCAGGAATATTGTTTATCTAATCGTCGTGTCAGCCGCAAGACGTCCACTGCTGGACATAGGCCTCCCCCAAACGGCGTAGCCCGCATCCAGCAGTTTATCTAATATATTATTATAAATGTCAACGTCAATTTGATTGTTTTTGTGTCCTGCTATCACTACAAAGACATTAAAACTATAGACACATACATCAACAGACATAGCAGAGGAAATATAATGCGAAATAAGTTGTAATTTTTTATTTCAGGAGGAGAGATTGGGTTTGTCGAAGGTGCACATTTGTTATATAAATGCGAAAGCTCAAAAAGGAGATTATCATGATGAGATGGACAGCAATAACTACATAAAATGGTTAAGTGAAAAATTGATCCCAAATTTGCCACCCAACAGCATTGTAGTTATTGACAATGCTCCATATCATAGCAAACGATTAAATAAGCCTCCCTCAATGGCGTCTCGCAAGGAAGAAATGCAAAACTGGTTGACTTCAAAAACTATTGTGTTCGATGCCCGCATGACAAAGCCAGAGTTGTATTACTTGATAATTCGAAACAGGTCAGAAAAAGAATATTTAGTAGATAAACTTTTGAGGGAAAGCGGCCACGAAGTTCTCAGACTGCCGCCGTACCAGTGTGATCTAAACCCTATTGAGTATATTTGGAACATAATGAAACAAAGGATCGCCGACAAAAATGTGGAACAGTCAGAAAGGCAGAAAGGATTGGAAAAAGCAAATTAACCATGTAGACCGGTTACGGCAGAAGTACTGGGAGAAACAAGGACTACAAGACGCCAGAGTAATAATAAATATAAACGATGGCGACAGTGATGATGATACATCATATTTTGAAAGAATTTCGGGGATTGAAGAATTGGAGTCAGATACTGATTCAGAATAAGTACTGTCACGCATCAGCTGGGCGCTTCGAGAGCACTTTTAAAACCTTGACCCGTTATCTGTAGTCACTTTTCTGTGTTTTGTTGTTGTTTTTCTGTCGTTTATTAAATTCATTAAAATTATTAATAATAAACATAAATTGTGTGTCTAATAAGTACCTCCGATCTAAAAAATCCTAAAATCAATTTACCTAATAGGCATTGCTGACCTAATTTCAGAATTTTCTTTCCCCAAAATTTCTGAAATTCTAAACACCATCCATACCAAGTATCGTAATGACTGAAAATAACCATTCACTTATTTTCGTTTTAGTGCTCGATACATAACACTATGATGCAGTTAAATTCACAAACGTAGCTATTGTAATTAATTAAAATAAATAACTACGAGTAGTATATACTAGTACTCATACTATGTATCACCTGGTAATTATACAGATGAAAGTGTTTTCCTCACTAGTCCTCAAGCCGCCATGTTCAGAATGCGCCTAATTGTTTTGGTAGCGTAGTATTAACCTCAAAATACAACATTCGAGCAGCGTTCATGCGATAAACTCTCTTTGTTTTACCACTTAGGTAACATTTATTTCTTTTCCTACCCATATTTACATTTATAGTCACTTAAACGCATATAAAACCCTAAATTAACGATTTTCGCTACAGACACTTCGACTGTTGTTACCTTACGTCACACGTCGAAGCGCCTGGTAATTTATTACGGCAAACTTTTATCTGGCAATATACGATATTATTATTAGGTGTTTTTAATTAAAACGAATTATGTTAATAAATAATATTTTGTATCGAAAATAAAGATAGCAGGCACCTTCGGAATCACAATACAAACATTTTTACGTAAAAGAATTTTTCCTAAATTAAAATTCACAGAGTTTTGGAAGAACAATAATTTTATATATCATTTCTTAACATTTTTTTATTTGTTGGTATATTCATTTATTTTAAAATTTTAAAATGACGGTTACCTTGTGAAGGACCCGAACAAACCTACAAAAATGTTTTAAAGCTTAGAATTACTTCAGGTCAAAGTTCTAGTCAAGAGAAATACATTAATTTTCGCCAGTTCTGTTCGTATTCGGCCTTAAGCTAAAAAAAGATAACAACTATGATATCTATATATATATATATATATATATATATATATATATATATATATATATATATATATATATTATGGCTTAACAATTTTGGTTACCATGAATTAACATGATATCCATGTTTACACACACACACACAGACACACACGCACACACACACACACACACACATACACGCGCGCGCACACGCACACACACACACACACACGCGCGCGCACGAGTACACACTGGCATTTCTGCACTATTAATATTTTAATTTTCGCTTTATTAATAGATTTTTTTAAGTTTGTCAACATATAAGTAATCTGTACAGGTATTTTTGTGAGAAGAAGCTGGCTCCTGAGATACGGGTTCCACATACATTAAGAGTCAGGGGCTGTCAATTTATTTGTTAAATTGTGTTAGTGAAATAAAGCATTTTGAATAAAACTATATATACCGATGTTACCGCGTTTAATTAACTTATTTTAACTTATTTTTAATTCAAGATGTTTCGGGTGCTTTACAGTACCCATGTTCACGGGGGGGGGGGGACTGTGAGATGTTTTACGTCCCAATGTCGTAGTTAGTCCGGCTACCTTCACTTTTTGAATATAAATTTTTGGTCCGATCTACGCAAAACAAAAAGAAAAAAAAATTAATAACTGACAAATGACTAAAAAATATCATTTAATTTCAGATTCATATTCACTAAGATGTCACCATTATCAGTTGATCTGTCTGTGTATGAAGGCAAGTAGAATTTGCTTGCCCGAGTCCCTTGAGCTGTTCGCTGCAATAGTGTCACAATATAGAGGTATGCATTTTAAAAAACATATTTATTAAATTTAAATATTAACAATTGCTAATTTTTTAAGGAGCCGTGGTAACTCAGATGGTTAACGCTCGCTGTAAATATAACAGAACGCGAGTAACCCGGGTTCGATCCCCGCCGGCACCAATGAAATTGTTAATTGCAATTTTAAGTGCTGATTTGCGGGGAAACCTGCATGTCTGAGGAATAGGAAAAGAAATATTTCGAAGACATGTGATGTTCGCCAACACGCATTGCGGCAGCGCGGCGGACACTTCCTTGCCCTAAAACCCTCTCGCAAATGAGGTGAGGCCTGTGCCCAGCAGTGGGATGTATATAGGCTGTAACTTTACTTTTTTACTTTTAACTTTCCAATGTGTCTTTAGATTAGTTTAAAATCCTAGAATCAATCAATGAAGTATAATATAATAATACAGTCTTACCTTAGTCATTATATTCAATTGTACTACGAAGTTCTTATCTTATATCTTCATATTCTGCTCATAAATTACAACTGATCCTAAGTCCACCGCTGCTGTTGCAGGCGTCCTTCACAAATTGCCACAAAGCACAGTCCTCAGCCACCTGTCTCTCCCTGCATGATTTGTCAGGTAGGCACGTTAATTGCATACTTTAATTCCTCCCTCACCTTTCCACCATCGGACGACCAGGCGGTCGGCGGGTCTTCACCCCTTTGTTCTCGATATTGCACGCATCAGAACCAAACGGTTTACTTCGACTTTTTTAACGTAGCAAAGGAGTGGAATAATTTGCCGGCGTCTGTCTTTACGTCAGAATATAATCTAGGCGACTTCAAGGCAAGAATGAATAGGCTTTTGTTACGCTAAGACTGTTCGATTTACCATCTAAGCCGCTAATCATAATTCATAATCTCACCTCTTACCACCAGGTGGAATTTTGGTCAAGCACTGGCTTACAAAAAGTTAAAAAGCTCTTTCTAGTGACTGCTCTCGAAACTATGCTTGCTAGGTTGAGGCTGACATCTGAAAATCTGTCACCCTATGAGTTGTCAATTCTTTGAACTAGGTACATGGCAATCCTACTTGTTTTGAACTATATGGCTATTGGCGATCCTCCTGCGACTTTAGCAGCAGCTGTCGATTTTCTGTTACCCTCGTTATGTTGTGGAAATTCTTGTTACAAATTTTATTACATCGAGAAACAAGCGTAACCCTCAGTCTCCTCCGTCATACGGCCAGTGGTGTACACGGTCATGAACATGTCTCAAATTTAAAAGCGTTTATTTGCATAGTCTGTTTCTTTATATAAAAAATGTTCAACTCACGGAAATGGTAATAATAAGACAATAGAAATGAATTAGCGCTCGATTTCTTCCAAAACCGATGTCGTCACATCTTACCGTATTATAAACATACGCAATGCACAATGATATCTAATGTTTCACATTACATTGCTTGGCGAGTTTGTTAACGTCGCATGAGTTAAGGCTGAGCACCCCTGCCAAATCTCATTCGTTCGCACATCATCAACAATCCCATCTGGGTCAAGCGTATGCAGTAAATAAGCTTAGTAAATAGTTTTGTTGCATATAATTTAAGTATAAATAGACAATTGTAATCAGTTAATATCGAATATTGTAGTAATAAACTTCTTACTGTAACTCTGTCAAAATAAATTAATATATATGTTTTTATTGAAGTTTAGTTCATTATCTTAATTCGTGCGTCGCGTATTATTACGGTAGAACAAAAGCAGCAATGGTAATCGTACAATACGAAAAGTAATAAAAGAAAGTTGACAAAGGTAAATATCATAGTAAAGTATTCATCTAGGTTAGTTAAAACAGTGATAATAATTAGTAAATAATCAACTTACCGATGAAATGTTATGCCTTTATTGGTTGAATTACACGTCCTTGATGAGTTTTTACAACCGATTATGCTGCGGTTCACCATCATAAATTTATAATAACATAAATTCACGTACGACGTTCCCCATGCAATGAAATCACAAAATGGTGAATAATGTTCGTCAACACATCACATCGGTGACAAGGTCACGCGTCTATGCGACTACTATTGTCTTATTATTACGATTTCTGTGGTCCAACTAATCCTGCCGCTTCGGTTCCGTAAGTCATCGCTAGCGACATGCACTTTTTGTGAACTTTTATTTTATAATTTACACCTGGAGAAGTTCGGCAACCGCTTTTTTATAATTTCGAGATGTCAGGGAAATGCTGCTGCTCATATCCTGTTTCAGTTTCCCTCCGTCGCCTTTTACGAGAACCGGGGGATGATATGGGCTGGTGAATATTCTTACACCGCCACTACGCGATTAGCTACTTCAAATATTTTTATCGATTTTAGATGAAGGTCGCCTGCCACAGGAGCTGATATCGGTGATTAGCAACGGTTTGCCAGGTCTACTCGTGCCTCCAGCGTTAGAGCCGGGAAAAGCGGGCTTACAATGGGTAATGTTTTGATTATAGCCGTGTTTTTTATTCTATTTATTTTGAAATTAACTATTCAGACGACATGGTGATTTTTATATTCTATAGTCCACTCAAAAGGGTAAAACAATTAAGTTATAATAAAAAAGTGAAAGCTAATTGTTACGGAAGGCAAGGGCAGCCGCCGCCCCGCACTCGACCCACGATGCGCAGCCAATCAGCGCGTGTCAAGTGCGCGTGGGAGGCCGTCGGCCACGCGACTCTCGCTCGCAGAGAGCTCCAGACAAGAAAGTAAGAAGAAAAAGAAAAGAATCCCTCTAGTTCTAGTGCTCCCTATAGTTATAATTAACTTGCCGATACCCGCTCGCTTCGCTGGGTGCACGATAATAATAATTACTTCGATCAACAATATCAACTAGATGTCGGGTCGGCGCAAGAAATCGATCTCAGTAAATAAGAGCGCACATGAGACGAGCTCTTGCACGTGGGAGTGTAGCTCGCAAGGCAATAACGGCAAAAAGAACTTTATTTGTTATAAATTAAGGTTGATTACACACAAAATGTTATTTAATTTATGTCTTTTCATAGTTTATAATGATGCGGACAGTATTTAGCTATGATTTTGTACGTGACCCGTAATCTAGTTGGTATTGTTGATCGAAGAATAATATTGTTTATTTCTCCTCCTTCTCAAATATCGACCATACATAATAAAAACTTATATCTTAAATACAGGTATGTTAATACTCATAGCCTAGAATCTGTGAAGAACTGGTGTTTGAGATAGGCAATAAAATGCCTGTATTAAAAATCACCAGATCTCCACCCCATGAGTACACGATAATAACGTAGATATAAAATATCAATTTTTTTTATAGGACTATCGTAAAATCCGTTCTTAGTGAGCGTCTACATTGCGAAATGAGTAACTATAATAACCTTCAAGTCAATTGGGTGTATACTTTTAGAGATTTCGTGATGAGTCAGTCAGTCAGTGGTATTTCGCTTATATACATTTTCATCTCTCGCTCGCACAGTCGCTATTTATACTTTTATACTCACACCCGCCGGTAACGTCTGCATAAAAAAATACGTTGCGAAATGTTTATCGTACGTTCTATAACTTCAGTCCAACTTGTTATTGGAATTAATCCTATACTTTTAAACGAGCAATTCTTGTATGTATATATATATACAACACGTAACACGTAACGTAATTTACGCACTTTGAGAAAGTAGTTGTCATTCAATAAAAATAAAGAAAAATGAACTTCATTTCAAGCACGTTATAGTCTTTGCGTTCGTGGATTTGTACTGTGACCCTGCGTTCGTGGATTTGTACTGTGACCCAAAGATTTAAATAGTTAGATGCGCCTTCACCTTGAAAACTGTGGCATTATTTTTGGATGTGTTCGTTTGCAAGACGCTGACGTGCGCACACTAATGCAATAGTGTCATCTCTTATTATCTTACAGAAATTGTATATACTACTTTCTTTGTCGCACAAATGAGCACTGATTGCGAATGAGTGAGCTCACTCATTTGAGAATGGACACATTTCGGAGTGGTCATACTACGGTAAGGGCGCATCTAACTATTTAAATCTTTGCTGTGACCACAACATTTTTCCGGAAGTAGTATAACTAATTTGATAAATAATCAGTGCATAAAAATGTTTAACTAAACATTCAGTGTATGTATTATGATTATAACATGATATACTAATTGGGATGTCTGAGGGTGTGCGTTAATTATATATATATAATCGGAATCTCGGAAACGGCTCCAACGATTTTCATGAAATTTAGTGTCCAGGGAGTTTCGGGGGCAATAAATCGATCTAGCTAGGATTTATTTTTATAAAATTTCTTTTTGTCCGTGTTTTCAGGTAATGAAAAACTGCTAAAATATAAGAAGGTAAATTTTGACACTGTGGTAATTAATGATCGTAATAGCTCAAATAGATATCGAACGGTCGCGAAATCGTAATGCCTTAGTTTACGTCCTGTCTTCGGTCCGACTTTTTCCTTTTGTTTTTCCAAGTTCCCTTTTTTGTGAGAAAATCTATTATTTCGAGCCTTTTTTAGTATTTTTTAAAAATACGAAAATTTTAATTAAACTAATTCCCCTCATGATATTTTATTCAAATAACCATTTCAGTTTTTTCTATTATGTCAATAAGATCAAAAAATATTATTCATGTTTCATCCGTGTGTAATTTGTATCTAAATTACAGGTACCAGGTACTAATAACAAAATGCCATAAACCACAAAATATCAGTCCAGTTATGCTAATTTGTGAGCTACGATGCGTTCTGAGTATTTTTTCATAATTTAATGATATTTAAATTTATTTTTGTCATTGCGAAATAAGTAACCATTTTTAAAATTTCCGTTTGCTTGTTTGTCCGAGCTAATCTTAGGAGTGACCGAACCGATTGCAATAAAACTTCACGAACAAATAGAGAGTAATACCGGGAGTGATCCCAACTAAATTTTATCCGAAAAATTTAGAGATTTTATTAAAATAGAAATATTAATAAGATAAAATAAATGATTATCTTAAGTCTAAATAACGCCATTTTATTACAAACTACCCGGGCAAAACCAGAGAGGGTGGCAGGTTATGAATTTAATTTTAAATTAATGAACCTACTTGCGTGTACAATGCTTTCAAATATTTTCTCATTAAGGGGAAATAGGGGCCTATGCTACCTCATATGGCTTAGCAAGATCCTCCGTCATGTCGAAAATATTGCAGCATTAATTTCGAAATAAATATATGTTAAAGTTTTTTTTTTGCGCCCGAAGCAATTAAAGGGCTACCCTATACGTAGGGAGGCGGAAAATGCATTACGCATACCACGATAGCCGGTCTATCGTGGTTATGAGGGGCTCACTGTCCTACCGGGGACCCTAAGTGATACCCTCTAAAAACCGCCTTTGGGGACAGGCAACCGGCTGATTAAGCTCTATTGTGCCTTATCATGAGCGACCCTCTTTTGGGAAAAGAGGGCGCAGGCGGCTAAGTGCCGCTGAGGGAGTGCCTACGAAGGCAAATTAATGTTAGATATTACAATAATTTTATTTAATTAGAGTTGGCCTGAGCCGCCAGGAGACAGTTCAGGTCGTTTGAAAGTTTATTAGGCGGGTCCGAGAGAGAGTTTCTCGGCCTGCGGACACGATAGCGAGAGGGGGGTGGGGCTGCATAAGAAGCTGCCTCACGAATTAAATGGTTTGGGTGCGACTCTGAGGCTTTGAAGAAGTTCTCAGAGAGTTTTTTAAGAAATTGTTGAATTGTTGGGAGCTCTAAGTCCCGATGAAGGTCGGCATTACGGACGTACCACGGTGCGTTCGCAGCTCGACGACAGAAGAGGTTCTGAACTATTTGGAGTTCATTTAAAATGTTAGGGTTTGCGTGGGCAAAGACGGGGCCCGCGTAGGACATGACTGGTCGTATACATACCTTGTAGAGGGTACGCTTGTTTCGAAGGGACATTTTACTGTGTCGGCCCAACATACTGTTGAGCCTACTCAGATAAAACCGTGCGTGACGGGTTACTCTTTTGACGTGGGGCTTGAAAGTGAGCCCTGTGTCTAGAGTGACACCTAAATATTTGGCGGACGTATGCCAGGGGACAGGGGTCCCTTGCATACGTATTGGTGGAGTGTTTTTGAGACGGCGTCGTTTATAATCGAAGTGGACGGCGGAGCTCTTCTCCGGGTTCACATCGATGCGCCATTTTTTGAACCAAGCTCCTAGGTCATCAACTGACTTTTGGATCTTGTTCCGTATAAGGGGTAGTGAGACACCTTTGCAGTAGATGGCAGTGTCATCTGCAAAGAGGGAGAGTTGAACACCTTTCGACGGGATGGGAATGTCGTTGGTGAACAGGATGTACAGCAGAGGAGCAAGTACTGAGCCCTGAGGGACACCAGCCTTGATAGTTCGCTGTGAAGAAAGCGTGCCTTCGTGTCTGAAACGAAAGGTACGATGTTTTAAATAGGAGGCCACGAGACGAACTAGACGATCGGGGAGACCTATTTTATAGAGCTTGTAGATGAGGCCTGTGTGCCAGACTCTATCGAAAGCTTTGGCTATATCGAAAAAGACCGCGATGGTCTTATGACGACGAGGATAGAAACCGCTGAGGATATATTCCACAATGCGGTGAACTTGTTGGGGACATGAGTGTTTGGCTCGGAAGCCGAATTGATGGGGAATGATAAGAGGGTCGCCGTCTGTGGGAAACAGATAGCGCCTCATACGAATTTGGATGACTCTTTCGAAGAGCTTGCCCATTGCCTTGAGGAGGCTAATGGGGCGATGGCTGGAGGGGGAGGTTGAGAGGCTTGCCTGGCTTGGGAATTCCAATCACAGTAGCCTCTTTCCACGTAGTGGGAAAATAACTAAGGTTGAAGCAGGCGTTGAAGATAATAGATAAAAAGGTTAACACCTGCTCGGGAAAGTGTTTTAGGGCTTGGTTGGAGATGCCATCCGCGCCCGGAGCCTTTTTAGGCTTAAGTCCTTTGATGAGGGATGAAATCTCATCATTGGACACAGAGATAGGTTCGGAGGCCGTGGGGGGTGAGTTCCGGCGGCGGACCTCATCCTCCACTGCCTGGACGTGTGAGGGGTCGACGGGTTGAGAACTGGGAGAGCATTGAGCGGCAATGCTATCTGCAAAGCACTCAGCCTTTTCCTCGTCCTCGAAGGCAACCGTGCCGTCGGGACGGGAGAGAGGGGGGAGTGTGGGTGATAGCGTCTATGCGGAGGGCTCTAGCCATCTGATAGTACGCTGTGTGAGATGGAGAGATATTCTCCATGAGCTTACTCTTTTCGAGATCTTGGAATTCAGAGAGGCGGAAGCGGAGTTTTCGTTGAAGACGATTGGCCGCGCGCCTGTATTCGGGGGTGGGATATTTTGCTGCTCTCCGGAAAGCAGCTTTTTTGGCTTTTAATAGGTTGCTAATGTGTAGAGGAAGCCCACTATTGTTAGCAACCGGGACGACCCTTTCGT